CTGCAGAGCTGAGACCAGAGCAAGCCCCTGGAGCCGCAGGCTGCAGAGGGGGCTCTGGGCTGACTGCATCCCAGAAAGGGTCCAGGCGGTGGCCATGATGGAAGGAAAGGTCAGGGTCAGGGTCAGGGTCAGGGTCAGGAGGGAGCCAGAACTTCGGAGCTGCTACCTGCTGCGCTGGGATGCGAGGGATATCGTGCTGCATGTCAAGTGGCAGGTGCAGGTGTGGGTGAGGATGGCCGGGATTTCCTGGGAGTGTCTGTGCAGGGTGAAGGCAGGGCCAGAGCCAGCAGGGGCTGTGAAGGGTGCGTGGGCACAGGTGGGCTCTCTGTGGCTGTGGGTGGGGAGGGTAGGCAGTCGAGGGGTCTGCCTGTGCTGGCATGCCATGGTAGTGCCAGGCTGCAGGGTTTGCACACCAAGACCTGCAGTTGCTTCAGCTGCTACCCTGGAGGGGTGAAGTTTCTCCCAGGAGAGGAGAGGCAGCAACATCCTTGGCCTGCTTCTGTGTCACAGGGTCCCTGCAGGAGCTGCCCCTAGTGGTGCTGGGGCTGAACCCGGGGCAATCAGCTACTGGATGGTGCAGTGGATAGCAGGCCGATGGGGGCGGAGGGGTGGAGCAGGCTGCTGGGTGAAACTGGTGGGTCATGCGGGAGTTGGGAGGTGGAGGACTGGGCCTGTGAGGCCATAGATGGGACAATACAGGGAGGGCTGTGGGGCTGGGCACGGGCTCTGAGGGCAATGATTTCTGGACAGGTGGGTGCTATGGGAGAGGGGAGCTCTGGGATTGGGGTGTAGCGAACCCCTGTGGTGTCAGGCACAATCACTACAGCCAACAAGGGCTTTTCAACTTTTATATAGAGCATCACAGGGATTAAGGTCACAGGCAACAGGCCAAAGGGAAGGGACACATACAGGTAAACAGACAAGGTTCTTTGGGTAGATGGGTTATCTTTTATTAGACCAACTAAATAGTTGGAAAAATTGTTTGTGGTAAGCTTTCGGGCACAAACACCCTTCTTCAGGCACAGAGAGAGTCTGCTGGTGTTTTTGTGCTCTCCTGGGTAGAATAGAAGCCAGTATGATAAAGGTGCACTGAGATGGTGGTCCATATAGTACTGGCACTGATAAAAGGAAAAATGACATGATCAGCAATCAGCTTTCCTTGGCCAGTGTGGCTGATAATGTCACCGATAAATGTTGCATGCATGTGCGCAGCTGCAGCATACACGCAGCCAGGAATGCAGCCCGCTCCTTGGATAGCAGCATCTCACCAGTAAGTCTGTGGGGGAGAAGGACCATGGGGGAGAGAAGGGGCATGGGAGTGTAGATCGAAGCTCCCATGGTGAGGGAGGGAGTGAGACGGGGCAGGGGCTGCCCAGTTGGGGTGGGGCAGGATGAGGGACAGAGCTACTGGCAGATCATACTGGGGTGGGGGCAGGTCCCCACCACCATGAGCACCCCCAGGGGAAGCATGAGGGGCATATCCCCCCCGGATTTGGGGAGGAGGGCAAGTGTGGGTTGCTGGCTGCGGTCTTGGGGCCAGCACCTATGCCAGACTTTTCCCAGTGGGGTGGGGCTGGGCTGGGACTTCAGTGGGAGTGGGTGGCAGTGACAGCACTGGGAGTGGGGGCTATGGTGAATTTTGGGGTGACTGGCCCACCACACAGCCCCACTCCCAGCACCACTGCCACACCCCCCATCCGAGCACAGCTATGGCCCAGTTCACCTGCCGAGAAGAGGCCAGCATAGCCCCTGGCCCCAAGCCCATAGTGGGCAGCCCACCCTTAACCCATGCACAAATCCAGGGGACGCATGCCCCTCATGCCCCCTCCTGAGATGTGCACAGTGGCAGGAGCCACCCCCCACCCTCCGCACTCCCATGTGGCACCTGGACCAACCTCCCATGGCTCTGTCCCTCGCCCCGCACCACCCTGGCCAGGCAGCACCTGGTCCTGCCCTGGCCCCTGCCGCACCCCACACCATCCCGCAATGTGGGGGTCTTGATCTACTCCTTCAACAGCTCTTCCCTCCCCCATGCCCTTACCGGACAGAGGTGGCTCTCCAAGCTGCCAGGCTGCAAATCAGCTATCAGATCAGTATCAGCCGATATGGCTGATTAATAATCGGCTGTTGGTATCAGCAAAAAAAAATCTTTATCGGTGCAGCCCTAGAATATGCAAAATGCAGGTCTGTGAAAATGCAAATGCAAATGTGAAAATACAAATTCAGTTGTGAATGTGCAAATCCAGGAATGCACAAGCCAGAAAACCTAGGCAGACCTACAGTATCCAACCATGGAACCCTAACTGGGGAAATATCAGGTTTCATCAAATCCACCCTAAAGACAATTGTCATCCAAAGGCCGAGTTTTGTCCAAAGCTCACCTTGTACAAAAACTTAAAAACATAGACCACCTTCCCAGCAATACCCTCCTAGCCACCATGGATGCTACCAACTTGCATACCAACATCCCATGCCATGATGCCATCCAAGCTTGCCTTACATATCTACAAGAGTGAGATTGTAACTCCAAGTACAGACCTAGAGATATTGCTGAATTTATACACTTCATCCTCACACACAACAACTTCACTTTCAATAGCCAACGCTTCCTCCAGACCATGGGCACAGCTATGGGCACCAAAATGGCCCTATGATATGCCAACCTTGTATGGCCCACCTGGAAGAAGAATTCCTCAAGAACTGCACCATCAAACCGATGCTATACTTAACATATATAGATGACATCTTCATCATTTGGACCGAAAACCTGCAGTCTCTGATTGATTTCCATCACAAATTCAATAACCACCACCCCTCCATCAGATTATTTCTTGAATAATCCAGCACCAACATTTCCTTTTTAGACACTATGATCATTATCCAGAACGGTAAAATACAAACCACCATATACAAGAAACCCACGGACCAACAGACATATCTGCACAGAACCAGCTATCACCCTACACATACAGCCAACCCTCCCATACCACCGAATTTGCACTGAGGAGAACAACCATGATCATCATCTCACAAATCACAAAAGGGCTTTCACCCGACAAGGACACTCCTCCAGAGAGACAGATCCCACTTTCAAAAGAGCCGCCCTGCATACCACGTGAACGACTGCTGCAGTACAAAAAGAAAATCCCCACAAATCTCACACCACTAGTTATGATATACCAGCCCTCCCTGGAACCTATGCGGAAAATCCTCAAACAACTACAACCCATAACACAAGACCCAATTTTTAAAGAGATCTTCCCAGAGCCACCCATCCTAGCCTTTAAATAAGCCCCAGACCTCACCAACCTCATCACCAGAAGCAAACTTCCTATGGCCCAAAGCACACCAAATGGATCCAGACCATGCCGGGACAAGAAATGTAAAACCTGCCAACACATCCCACCACCCCCACTATTACTACACCCCACAACAGAGCCATCGCCATGCCTGGATCTCACACCTGCACCTCCAGAAATGTAATATATCTCTTCCAGTGCACAAAATGCCCCGATGGAGACTACGTATGAGAAACCAAACAAGAGCGTACCAGAATGAACGCACACCGAAAAGCTATCAAAGAAAAACAATACCCAGTGACCTGTGGGTGCCCACTTCTCAGGAGATTACCCCGCTTTCTGCAATCTCTCCCTTCTAATCCTCAAAGGGAATTTTGGAGATTAGCCTACAAACGTCCCTTGGTAAATGTGCTGGAATCCAAAAATCCTGGACTCAGTACAGACATTCAAGCTAACCTGTCTGCCGTCCGTGATAACCCCAGGTGACCTGTCTGCATTTCACCAGCTGCAGCCTACCACCAGTGCCCCCTTCCCCCTTCCTCACAACCCCAAATTATCTCTCACATCTATTGTCTCCCATTCCCTTGGATCCTCACTGCCATGCATTTGCATTTTCACAGACCTGCATGTTGCACGTTGGCTGCTCTTCCACCCAGGAGAGCACACAGACACCAGCAGACTCTCTCCGTGCTGGAAGAAGGGCGTTTGTGCCCGGAAGCTTGCAAAGAACAATTTCCCCGACTATTTAGCTGGTCTAATAAAAGATATCACCTCTCCCCAAAGAACCGTGTCTGCCTGTGTCCTCAGACCAACACGGCTACAACCAGCAACCCTAGCATACAGGTAAGCAAGCGTTAAAAGTAAAACGCCATCCACTTACAGGGCAAGCACCAGGCAGGGCTCAGCACCACTGCAGCGCATCCGCTCAGCACGTGCAGCCCCCCTTAGCCAGCCCCGAGCGCTGAGCTCCCCGCTTCTTCCTGCCACCCCAGGCTCTGGGCTTGGCAGTCCGGCAGGACTCTGCAGGTTGCTCATCACTTCCTCTTCCTGCTTCCAGTGCCTCTGGGATCTGTAGTCCAGGGTCACAGCAGGCAGGACCCCGCAGGGGTGTCCCCTTCTGTTACACGCTCCTGTCCCATTGCCAACGCACGCAATGCATGCGTTACAACGCACCGTCTGCCAGGCGCTGCCCTGCTGCCAGGCCTCGGGCCGAAAGGCAGGGCTCAGACATAGGTGTTAGCATCACCCAGGGGACACGGGTTAAAAACAAAAAGTTTGGTTCTCAATAAAAAGTTTTCAGTAAAAAAAAAGATTGGGTTGGCCAGAATCCTTGGCTGCAGCAATGGCTTTCCACGGCACAGCCCGCTCCAGCTTAGGGGCCCCTTCTCATTCGAACATATGGGCTGGGTAGGAGCTGTGCCAGAGAAGGCATTGGGGGGGCTGTGCCTGCCGGACGACTAGGGCAGGGTGGGAAGGGGTGATCTGCTGGAAACTGATTTGGTGGGAAGTCACAGGAATGAAAGGGAATGGCGATCAGTTTGAAGGAAGAAAATTATCCCTGCGGTTGGTCTCTATGTCCTCTCCAGAGCTGAGAAATGGGAACAGGCCAGGGCCAGAGCCCTGTCCAGGGCAGATCTCTCTGTAAGCATTGGTGATGCGTAGGGAGTGCACATGGGTGCACGTGCACCCCCTGAGCTTGGCCATGCACCCCCTGGAAGCACCAGCCGCGAAACCGGAAGTGCCAGAGGAAGTGCGCTTCTGGTTTCGCTGCCGGCTTGGTGATCAGCCACTGGAGGATCCCCTTCCCTCCCCCCAGTCGGCAATCTGGTGCCCCCCAGACTTGTGAGGCACCAGTCGCCCATGTCTGCAATGTCCCAGCCCCTTCCCTTTCCAGAGGATTCACTGCAAGCCAGGGGTTGTTGCTCACCCTCAGGAGCAGGAGCTGGTCACACTCAAAGCACCCATGTCCTGCTGTGCAACAAGGAGCCTGTCCTTTTGAATGAACCTCTGACCAGGGGGAAGTAGAGTCTCTTTTCTGGGCTAAATGCAATAGTAGAGGTAAAGGAGCTGGACCCCGTGACAGGCCCTACCTCTTCTGTGGAAGGGTAGAAAAAGTATGAACGCATCCTCTGGGTGAAATGCAGCACGTTATAATCTCCCATTGGGAATACTGAGGCTTCCCTCCTGGTCCCAAAGCAATTTAGCTCCATGAGTGTTTTGTAGGGGCTACTCCAAGAAGTTAATAACCCATCCTGGAGCGCACTCATTCGTCTCCATAATTGTCCTTTCTGCTGATACCCCCCGATGTATAATACTGCCCCCACCTTCCCTATTTTACACTGTTTAAGAAAATAACCTGGTGACTTCTGAATGAAGCTCAGTTGTTTGGCAGGAGGGCTACTTTCTTTTGCTGTTGGAGGTGGATTTTCCTGGACACCTCATCTTTTTGGGTCCTCTGAGCTCTGTCTGGGTAGTTTTTTGAAACATGAACACATGTCCAGGATTTCCTCCACTAATCTTTTTTTAACATGGATGCTGGTAGGTAGATGAACTTTATTTCCCACCTTGCCTAGCGGCAAGCATGTTGGGGACCCAAGTTTTCAGTTTCTGTGGAAAAAAATAATGCAGGCCTACTTTGGGCAAATGGAAGCAGGGGCACTATAGGCATACACACACGCACACATACACACACGCACGCACACACACGCACGCACACACATACACATACACACACACACGGACATCATACAGCCAGGCAGGGTAGTGGGAGCAGCCCCAGCAGCAAGATATAATAAGTCTATAGGGATCAGGGCTTGGGTGGTGCAGGGCCTGGGGATTGTCCAGTGCCCCAGGACTGGGGGGTCTGTATATGTGTGTGTGTGTGTACGTGTGTGTAGCCTGGGGCTGGGGCTGGGCAGGAGGGCTGGTGGGGGGAGTTATGGGGCTGTGGTTGCAGCAGGGCAGGAGGGCGCTTCGGCGGCAGCTGGGGCCTGTGCAGCCGGGTGGACTGGAAGGCGCTGCCCAGGGTGGCGGCCATGGCCAGGAGCCCCAGCCTACAATGGGGATTGCTGCTGCCATAGGCCTCCCCTCCTCCTTGTTCCAGCCCATGTTGGGGACTGACTTGCTCTGCCACCGCCCGCACGAGTCAGAGCTGCTGCACTCTGGCCCAGGCAGGATGGGGGGAGTGAGGGGCACTGGCATGGGCAGGGCACTGGTACATCACTCAGGGCTGCTCAGCACCACAAAGCAGTGATGGGGGCACAGCCACAGCTGGACCCGCAACCTGGTGAGCAAACAAAGCAGGCAGGGGAGCTCTGATTTTCCATTAAGAAAAAAAAAATCAAATACCAAAATATGTAAGTATTAGCATTTATTTTAGCATGATGATTGAGGCACTGGCAGGCTTCCAAACTGCTTTGAAATTATAAACATATCAATAAAACATTGTGTAATAGATACCAATATATATAGTGGGATTTCATTTTAATCGTGGAAGAATGCAGATTTGGGGGGGGGGGGGGGTTAATCAGAGAATTTGGGATTTGTGGGAAACTGCTCCCTAACTATCATATCCCGCCGCCCCCCCCAACCCTGGACAGTTGTCCTCATTTTTGGAACTGGAAATATGGTAACCCTGCCTAAGCATTTGTTGTCAGGGTCCTGAGTAGGGTTGAATAGGAGCACAGGGAGACACCTAAGTCCACCAAGGCCCCTGCTGCCTGCTTCTCTCCCACAGCAGCTCCAGAAAGTGACTGAAAACATGGGAAAGTCCAGCTGGGAGTGATTAAGAACAACACCACCTGAGCCTCCATGTCCTTCACCCTTGCACCCAGAGTCCTGTAGTCACTCTGGATCGGCTCCAGCTCTCCCCTGGCAGTATCATTGGTGCCCACATGGATGAGCAGCATGGGGTAGTAGTCAGAGGGCTGGGTAAATCTTGGTAATCCTTCTGTGACATCTCAGGTCCAGGCTTCAGGCAAGCAGCAGACCTCCTGGGACAACAGTGCAGGTCAGCAGATGGATGCCTCTGTCCCCTGCAGAAGGGAATCTCCAACCACCACCACCCACGGCTTCTTCTTGGAGGGGTCTAGATCCTTCCCACTTTGGTGAGACCGGTCCTGACTTCCTTCGCCAAATGGAACGTGCTCATCGCCTTCTGGTGCTAGGGCTCCCTCTCTATTCTCCAGATTAATTGCTACAGGTGGAGATGAAGATTTCTGCTTGCTGCTTCCACCTTCCTGGGAGTCCACGTCTTCTCGCTTCTCTGCCGGAGGTCTCCACAGCATCGAATCGATGAACTCCTCACGGTGGAGGATGCCTCCAAGCATCGACACCACCTTCTGTAGCTCTTGTGCCTGCTCCCTGAGGGACACCACCAGAAGGCACAGCTCACACAGCAGGCACCCGCCCCCACCCCCCGGCTGTGACTGGAAGGAACCTGCAAGCTGCAGTCCCCCCAGCACCAAACCTGGACCTCGGTGGGTGCCTCGATGATGAGCAGTCCTGCCTGGACAGGTATCTCGCAGGGGCAAGCAGAGGCAGAGGCAGTGGCTCTGGCATTGCGATGTCCTCCAGTCATTTCCCTGGGTCTCTTAATCGACCTTCTCTCTCTCACTGCCCTTCTTCTAAGCAGATCTGCGGTGCCCAAGCAAACTCACCTGTAAGCTCTCCTGATCACTGTTCCTTGGCCCCACAAGGCTCCTTTTTTCCTGCTTCCTCCCACCAAGAGTAAAGGTTCCTCCTCAAAGGGAGAGAGGGTGGGGGGCGGGGGGGACTAATGGACTGTTGAAACTAATGAACTTATGAAAACTGCTTCCCCCGTTTGCTGCCCCCAGCCTGCCCGTGCTCCCTGGCAATGCCCTGCATGTGCAGCGCCACTCCAAGCAGGATCCCAAGGAGACCAGACACTTTCCTGGAGTAGCCGTGAGCACTGGAAAGCAGGGCACAACCTCCTGGCCTTCAGCTCCATGAAGGCAGAAACCAGTCTGTTCTCCCTGCTGCATGTGAAGGAGCTGAGGGGACTGCAGGGCAGGACACCCGGGCTGTTTCATAGATTCACAGGTGTTTGGGGCGGAAGGGACCTCAGTATGTCATCGAATCCGACCCCCTGGCCTGGGCAGGAAAGAGCGCTGGGGTCAGACGTGCCCAGCCAGGTGCTTGTCCAGTCTCTTGTTACACTGGATCGTTCTCAGCTGCTCAGGGCAGAGAAGCTGCTGCCCCTCTGAACCCATCCCCTTGCAAGGGGTCCCAAAGGTCCCTGTGCCCATGCCCAGGTGAATGCCCAGACCTACCCTCCAAGGCCTCTGTGAAGGTAACACCCAGGCCATGGATGCTGCCCTAGTCCCAAGCCTCTCTGCAGACCTAAACACTCACCGCACACCTGCATCTCTCGGGACTTGTGCCGCTCCCAAATCCATCTGGCTTTGTGCTGAAAGAGGCACCTGACCCATGCCCCGCCATCCTGCACAGTGGGGGTGAAGGTCAGCAAGACCACAGAGCAGGTCCCAGATCTCTCCTGTGTCACTGTCCAGTGCAGGGGAGGGCATGTAACAGCAGCTGGTGCTCTAGGTCCACCCCGGCTCTGTCCATCCCAAATCACTCTCTTGACTTCCCCATGCATTGGTCCCATCACAGCCGTGTTCTTGGGAAACATCCCCTCCATGGAGCAGCACAGGGTCACCTCCTGTCCCAGCAGGTACTGCGCTGGCCCCTGCACCTCGGAGACCAAGTACGGGGCTCTCCTGCCTGGGGTCAGAGCAACAGCTGGGTCAGTTGGGCTGCAGAGCAAGGCCAGGGCCTGGGAGACCTGAGAGCTGCAGGGCAGAACGGTGAAGGGAGTGGGTACCAGGCTCTGCAGAGGCCTGTCCCCACGCCCCCTGCTTCTTCCCTCTCCCTACAACCAGCAGCCTTATCCCTGCTACTGCCATGCCTCTTCCTCCAGCTATAAACAGCTGTTGCAGCTGCAGCTCCCACTGCCATGATCCCTAGGGAGACTGTGATCATGGCACCAGTGTGATCCACGCTGGTCTCTGGGACTGAATGGGATGGCAAATAAGAGCCCTGCCTGGCACCACTCACCAGAGGTGAATGCCAGGGAGGGGCGTGGGGGGGGAAGTGGTGCACTTGCACCCCCCTTTCAACCCCGTTGCCCCCAAATTTAAACCCAACTGCCTAGGAAAGGCAGCAGCTTTTCTATCCAGGCAGCACTGTGAGTCCAGTCCCATCATAGCTCATTGTCAACTTCCTGATTCCTATTAACTCCTTTTGCAAGGGGTGCTCCAGAGCCAGGTGCTGGACCTGGCAGGAGAAGATGCTGTTGGTGTTGCTTCTGGCAGGGGTGAAGGCGTAAGCGAGGGCAAAGTTGCAGATCCCATTCAGGCTCCTCTGCAGGGCAGAAGGGGTGGAGTTGTTCAGGACCCATCTCTCTCTCAGCCACGCAATGTCCATTCCTTGGGGTAGAAACCCATCACGTGGCAAGGGCAGGAGGTGATGGCACAGGCCAAAGCCACCTGCTGGGGGACAGAGATGCTGGGGGCAGCTGGAATGGAGAGACAGAAAAGCCCTGCGCTGCCTCTGGGGTCTGAGCAACAGGCCTGGTCATGCTGGCACAACGCCCCCACCCCAGGCAGGGGACACCAGCTGGGTCTGAAACTGGAAGACTATGGAAGAGAATGGCCTTGTCTTCACCAAACGGGTGACCTGCTGGGCTCGAGCTGTTCCCTCTTGTTCCTGTACTGAGATCTGGGGAGTCTGGGGGTCCAGGGCTGGTTGTAGCACAGGGCATGGCCTTGCAGCCATGTGCTCCCTGGTCCGGTGCACCCCAGCACCAGCTTCCTCTGGCTTCCCCTCACCCAGTAGTCAGGGCCACTCCAGGGATGTTGGAGCCCCTCTCTGGTCCTCACCGAGCATGTGGATGGTTGTCTACGCCTGCTGATGCTGCAGCCCATAGCCTAAGGCACAGGTGTACAGTTATTCGTCTGCCAGCATTACCCCAGCCAGAGCCAGGGAGGTGTCTCCGTTCTCCAGTGCCATCTCCACCAGGCTAGCTCTGGGTTGGGCCTGGGCCCTGCTTTCTGCATACTGTGCAATCCTCTCCTCCAAGAGATACCAGGTCACACAGGGCCACCAGCCCCGATATCAAAGTAGCTGGACCCAGGCACCCAGCAGGGCATGGGAGGATGGTGCCGTGAGCACCCACAGTGGGGAGGTTACAGAGAACAGGAGCAGCGGATGCCAGCAGCACCCCTAACAGAGCCCCTGCCTCCCCAGCGCAGAGCAGTGAGGGGTGGCTGGGACATCTCTGCATGGGGCAGCACTGGCTGGCCCCAAGCCACAGCTGGACATGACCTCCAGGCCTGAAGGAGCCCTTCCTTGTGCTTTTGCTCTGCCCCCTCCCTCAAACCACTGTTATTAGCCAGGGGAGCAGAGGGAGGGGGCACAGACCAGGCAGGCATCCAGGCAGGCTCCAAGCCCAGGCCTCTGGACTCCTGGGTCCCACCCCCAGCTCTGTCACAAGGTGACCACAGGTGCAAGGATGTTGCGGGGCTTCAAAAAGGGGCTAGGCTCCAAAGGTCCCTGCGCCAGGTCAGCATCATATTCCACTTACTGGGAAATAGCATCCACTTTCCCATTTCTCCATTTTCAGAAAGTCCAAGCGGTACAAGAAAAGGGCCCACCCCAGTGAGACTGTCTCTGTTTGCATGTCTTGGCTGCGTGCAAGAATAGGAGTGCAATGCAACTGTAATGAGTAACAGCAGGAGGAACCAGACATTGGCGATGCCTAGGGGGTGGGGCGCACCCTCCGAGCATGGTGTGCACCCCTGTGAACAGGAGTCGTGCCTGCGGGCAGTCCATGATCGCTGCTGGCCACCACCACCCCACCTCCCACCGCCAACAGCAGGAGCCCCCTGCTTGCTGCCACCAAGCTCCCACTGCCACCTGCGGGAGCTCACCATGCCCCCCAGCATCCAGAGGCACACGGCATTCATGGAACCAGGGGCAGTCTGCAGAGCTGGGGTGACTGGGAGTTTGGGCTGCAACGCCCAGAAACCCTTGGGGCTGGGGGGAAAGGGAAGGAAGAGGAAGCTTGAGGCTGGAGCAAGGGGGGAAAGGGAGCAGCGTGCACATGTCAGAAGTGCACAGAGAAGCATGCAGTGGAGCTGGAGAGCTCAAGGGCTCAGTCAACCAGGACTGTGGCCTGAAGGAGCTGGGTTGACTTGGGGGCAGCTCCAGGCTGATGTCTGAGCACCCTAGGGATTAAAGGGTGGTTTGGGGACAGTCCCAGCATGCCAGGGGGAGGGGATGAGTTAAGGTGCTGTGTGTATTACCTATGTTTCTGTTTCTTTACTTTTTTTACTTGTTCCTTCCATTTGACCCATTGACTTGTGACCCTAATCCATAGGCAGAGAGAGAAAAAATTGTTTGGGGGGGCCTTAGTGCACGCGCACACGCCCCGCCCCCCCCCCCCCCCCCCCCCCGAAGGCAAGTCTGGGGGAAGGGGAAAGGCTTGATCGAGGCCCCTAGGGTGAGAGAGGGAGTGGGGCAGGGGCTGCGGTGAATGGGGGCCTTACCGGCCAGGAAAAAAATGGTAAGGATTTCAGTTCCTTTAACACTCTCACCTATACACATTGCCCCCAACCTCCACTCTGCCTTAGAAATTGCACAATTAACAGGCACCTTCAAAATGTGCAGAACAAAGTCCTATTCCCTTTCTCCTTTCTGTGGCCACCTCCAACAAACCAAACCAGCCCTCCTGCCAAACAACTGAGGCTCATTCAAAAATCACAAGATTATTTTCTTAAAACACTGTAATGTAGGAAAAGTGAGGGCTATTTTATACAATGCGGGGGAAAGGGGGGGGTTGGAATGAGCTGAGAAGATAAATACAGAGATGAATCAATTTGCTCTGGGATGGGCTATTAATCTCTTGGAGCAGCCCCTACAGGACACTCATGGAGCCAAACAGCCTTAGCACTAGTAGTGAGGTCTCCCAAGGGGAGATTACAACATGCAGCATTTCATCCACAGGATGCCTTCATCCCTTCCCCACTTTTCAACAGGAGAGGCAGGATCAGTCTTAGGCTGCATCTCCTTAACCCCTGCTACCCCATTTCACCCGAAAGAGACTCTACTGCCCTGACCAGTGCCTTCCAAAGTGGGACATTGTGCCTGGAGCTGGACTAGTCTCAGAAGCAGCAAATGACAGAACAAGGAGCAATGGGCCCAAGTTGCTGCAAGGGAAGTTGAAGTTGGATATTGGGGGGGGACCAGGATGGATACATCTCACTAGCAGGCTAGTAAAGCACTGGAATGGGGTACCCAGAGAGGTGGTGGAATCTGCATCCTTGGAGGTTTTTAAGACCCGGCTAGACAAAGTCGGCTGGGATGATCTAGTTGGTGCTGCTATGGCTTGGAGCAGAGGGTTGGACTAGACGTGACCTCCCCAGGTCCCTTCCAACCCTCACGTTATGATTCTATGAAAAGGGCAGGGGCCTTGCTGCACAGCAGGACATGGGTGTAATGCCTCAAGTGTTCCCAGCTCCTACTCCTGAGGGCTAACACCAACCCCTGGATTGTGGTGAATCCTCTGGAAAGAGAAGGGGCTGGAAAATCCCAGAGAAACCTGCCCTGGAATGGTTCTGGGCCATGGTCTGTTCCCATTTCACAGCTCCAGAGAGGACGCAGAGACCAAGGACAGGGATACCATGTTCAGCTCTGGGGCTTGATTAGCAAGGAATTCACTATAGAGAATGGGATGAAGGGAAGGAAGGGGAGGAGGCGGGGAGGGAGAAAGCTGGCACCTGGCAGTGCAGATTTCTGAAAAGCTGAGAAGCAAAACATGCCAAACTGTACTCGGGGGGGGG